AGTACAAGAAAAAAGAAAATGTTCTAAAACTGATCGCAGTGATGACTGTACAACTCTTCTGGATGTGAGTGAACTATGGAATTGTATGATATGTGAAGTGTATGCCAATGAGACTGTTAAAAACCCTGAGATCAATGGCTAGGAGTTTGGGCATCTTTTCATGGTTTTTGCCATCTGGGTCTCACACCATTTGACATACCCCCAAAGTGGCTAAAATACAATACCATGTACTGGCATGTGTTTAGTACAGCGGTTCTCAATCTGTGGGTCATGACCTCTTTGGGGGTCAAATGACCCTTTCACTGGGGTCACCCGATTCATAACAGTAGCAAAATTACAGTTATGAAGTAGCAATGAAAATAATTTTATGGTTGAGGGGGGAGGTGGTCACCACAACATGAGGAACTGTATTAAAGGGTTGTGGCACGAGGAAGGTTGAGAACCACTGGTTTAGTATAACTGGGATTCTCACTTAATGCAAAACCCCATGCACTAAAGTTACAAAATCCTATGGAATCACAAGTTCTTTTTAAAAGCACAATACAAATATCTACTTATATGGCCAAAAAGCACGTGTAGCGGGTTCGTATTTGTTGTGACTAGCCCCAATGCTCATCAAAACTAGAAGGGAAAAGTAAAATTGAGTATACAAAACAGAATTCTACACTGCAATGTGAACAACGTTCTGCTACAGGCAATAACATGGATGGATCTCTCACACACAACCATGAACTAAAAAACAAACACCTAAGCATAGCAGAATACATACATACAACTCCATTAATATAAAATTCACAATCAGGAAAAACTAACGTATCGTGTGAACAGATCGGGACAAGAGTCCTGTGGGAAGCTGAATGGGGTACACGCTAGAGAGGCACCGGGGGCCCTGAAGGCTCGTTGGTTGCTGGACAGGGATGGTTTGCTAGATGGTTGGTTCAATTTGTGGTAATCCATTGAGCCTTACCTTTTTATTCCATATGCTTTTAATACATGATTTATTAAAATGACTTTTACTTTAAAAGTGTAAAAGTAAACTAACATTTCTGTGATTTTATTTCTTGAGAAGTGAAGAGACATTTGAACTTTCAATATACCTGACCCCAAGCCTTCAGTTTAAAAAACCTAACAAATATAGTATTTTCTAAACATATAAAGTCACTTTAAAATGTTCTTTTCTTTTCATTTGAATATCATGGAAAGAATTAAATGTATTACACGGAAATCACCTGGATGACTTTAAACTAAAAACTTAAAAAATATAAATTAATACTTTATTTGAAAGTTTAAAAATAAGTACTGTATTACTCACTAGCTAGCATATGAACTATGACTGTCAAAATTCAACCTCAAATTTAAAATGTTCCTTATTTTTTTGGCGACTTAAGAAATAAACAATATGCCCCTTTAATGTTCTTAAAGCATAATCATAAATAAATAATGACATAAGATGTAAATCAGTTTCAGGCAAACACAGCCATCTGAATTGGAAGTTTGTCTCCATTCAAACTACAAACAAATAAAACCCCCAAACCACAAACAATACAGAAAGAAATAAGTTTATTCTTCTGGAGAAATGAAACCAGAAAGGCTTAGGATTTAGAAACATTGACATTTTGTCAGTTAGGGTTGAGAAATCAGGTATTAGGTGAAAGTCTATATACTGAACCAGTGAGATCTTCCCAAGTCCTCCCTCCTGGGGGCTCTGGCTGACCTCCTGCACAGCCCAGCCTCAAAGGGGAAGAATCCAGAATTCTTTAGAAAAACCCAGTTGAGATCTACAAGAACTGGCATTTGGCGTGTCTATCAGGAGTAACAATAATCACCAATGACAGATCTTGACCATGCACTGAGGACATCCAGTTGGCTTGTACTTATTGAATTCCGAAAATCAAGGATGAAGTCAAAAGCCCTAAACATGCTAAGAGAGAACTATTCAGGGAACTGCAGACCATTTCTAAAACCCCAGCAGCACTTTCATTCGAGAAATGAGAAGGCACTGTTCGTAACCCCTGAAAACGGAGCAAGAGTTCTTAGAAACCAAAGTAGGGTATCTACAGCAAAAACTCAATACAAGATTTGAAGATAAAGTGAAGCTTTCCATAAAATAGATTTTAAAGGTAAAAATAAAATCGGAGAGAGAAAAGACTAAAAAAATATTAAAGGGTCAATAGGAGGGGACAGCATGCAAATAAGACAAATTCAGAAAGCATGGAATAGAGAACGATGGCAGGGAATTACAAAAGAAATGTAACTTAAAAAGAGAGAAAGAAATCTAACTCCAACTAGAACGGGCATCAAATGAAATGAAATGCCCACAGAAATGAAAAATAATTAGCAAGGCATGCCCATCATGAAACTTCAAACCCAAACCGCTGCCTTGGAGTACGGACACGGACACGGCATGTACGGCCACTGAGTTGGTTCAGATTCATGGTGTCGCCAAGTGCTGGTGACTCGGAGCCACGCTAAGCGCGAGAGCACGGAGCACAGCCGGCCCGCGCCATCTTCACACCTGTTCTCAGTCTTGAGCCCCCTCCCAGCCCCCGCGCCAGCCCATCTCGTCGGGAATCTTCTTCGTCCTCGCTGCCCCTCCACGTTACCAAGCATGAAGTCCTTCTCCAAGGACCGGACTCCCTTGATAACACGCCCAAAGTAAGCTGAGATGGCGCCTTGCCATCCTTGTGTCTAAAGAGCATTCAGGCTGTACTTTTCCCAAGATAAATCAGTTCTTTCGTCAGTCCATGATACTTTTGATACTCTTCGTCAGCCCCATTATTCAAATGCACTGATTCTCCTTAGGTCTTCTTACTCAATGTCCTACTTTCACATGCATACAAGGGACACAAAAATAGCATGGCTTAGGACAGGAACACTTTAATCCTCAAAGTATCACCCTTGCTTTTCTTTTTTTTTTTTTCTTTTTCTTTTTTCGAATTTTTTTCTTCTTGTAAATTGTATTTTATCAGTTTTATTGACATAATCACCCTTGCTTTTCAACACTTTAAATATCCACTGCAATGTATTGTTTGATCTCGACTCCTGCTTCTGTGAGCACTGACTGGACAAAATCCTTAACAACTTCAATTTCCCCGGTTATCATGATGTTATCTATTGGTCCAGTAGTGAGGATTCTGGTTTACTTTACATTGAGTCTTAATCCACACTGAGGACTGCAATCCTTGATCTTCATCAGCAAGGGCTTTGAGTCTGCTTCCTTTTCAGCAAGCAAAGTTGTATCATCTGCATAAAAAGCCTTCATCCAATCCTGATGCTGCATTCTTCTCCATATAATCCAACTTGTCTGATTGTTTGCTGATTATTTATTTTAACTCACAGACAGCATCCCTCTATGAGTTTCATAGTCTGTACATCACTAGGCAAACAGACAGCCTATCTTTCTCCTGTGGAGTGACTGATAGGTTAGAACTGCTGACTTTGCAGCCAGACTCCCTAAGTTTAAGGCTATAAAGTGTTTACAAACACTGCCAGATCACCCCTGACTTTTTGCTTAACAACTGAGC